GGCGTTGAGTGGCGGCGCCGCAGTCACCGCCGGCTGGTGGTGTCCATGCTGGCCGTGCTGCGTCGAGGTTGACGAGTCGACGAAGAAGATCGATGCCACCGACGTGGTCTCGCGGCAGCGCTCCTTGCTGCACACTCCGTTCCCGCAATAGGTGCAGCCAAAGGTGGTCGACACGCACGAGTGGCAGCTGCTCAGCTCCTGGCAGCGCAGCACGTGATGCAGGTGCTCCGAGGTCATGGTTATGCGACTCTTCGACGGGCACGCCACATAATCGTAAATGGCCGAGCGCTGCACCCGCATTATGTTGATGCAGCGCATCAGCTGGACATCCCAAATGCACTTGACGCCCGGTCGGGCGCTCGTACACTTCTCCTCCTTGGTGTAGAAGCTGCACTGGCCGGCATCGTAGCGCAGCATATCGTTCAGCATCTGGCCGTTGAAGCCGCCATAGATATACAGCGAATCCTCAAACACCACCGAGCTGTGGCCGAAGCGCGCCAGGTCCGCCTGCAGATGGGCGGGCATTGGATGCATATGCCACGAGTCGCAGTACACGTCGTAGATGAGCAGGTCCTGGCTGTAGCACTTGGCGCCGTAGCTCTGCGAGGTGTCGTTATGCGTGTTGCCGCCAAAGACCATCATCAGGCCCGGATTCACGAAGTTGGCCGTGTGCAGCAGCCGCGCACTGGGCGCCGACGACAGCAGCGTCCAGATGCGCGTCGACGGCTCGTACGCATACAGGCGCGAGCTCAGCACTTGGCTGGCATCGCTCTCCGATACAATGCCGCCATAGACGTACAGCTTCTCGGTCAGCAAATCGTAGGCGGCGCTATGGCCGTAGCCGCCCTTAACCACATAGCCGGAGGTCTGCAGGATCTTCCATTCGCGCGTGCCAAAGTTGAACTCCTGCACCGTGTTGAGGTAGCCGTACTGTGGCGAATGCCCAAATATCACCACCATGTATTGATAGTTGTTCTTGTCTCCATAGCCGGGCACAAGCGTCGCCGTATGGCCCGCCACGTGCAGCGGCCCGCACATCGAGTACGAGCTGTTGCACGGCTCCGTCTTCACCGTAATGTTCTCCCACATCTTGGCCGACACATCGAAGGACCAGAGCTCATTCGTAATACCCTGCGATTTGACGACGCCGCCATACATGAATATCTTATCCCCATACATGACCGTGGAGGCGCCATAGCGCTTCTCGGGCACCGCCGTGCCATTCTCCGGATGCATTGTCTCCCACACATTGCCATTGAAATCGTAGGTGCTCATTAGCTCGCCCCGGCCGTACGATTCGCCGCCAATGATGTGCAGCGTGTCGCGCCAAACGGCGGCGCCATGCGAGGCACTGCCCGCCGGTGCCAGCGAATGCTTCGGGTGAACCGTGCTCCAAACGCCGTGCGCTCGCAGCTGACTGCAATCGTCGCCGCCATAGCCATCATTGCACTCACAGCTACGGAATACGAAATATTACAGTTAGTTTTTATCTGTGCGCCTATTATCGTAATTCATTTTGCACTTACCGCTCCTGCTCTATCCTGCATATGCCGTGGCCMCGCGCCTCTGAGCAGTTGTTTGGACAGGCGGCCACATTGCAGGCTTCCCCCCTGTACATGGGATCGCACAGGCAGTCGCCGTCATGGCACGTCCCGTGCCCGGAGCACTCCACGTCTGTGGGCATAAGAGTTTTGTAAATTTAAATGCGAAAGGAAATGAGGAAATGGACAGATAACAAGATTTTTAAACTATTTTCATTGGATATTATATATAGCATAATAAAAAATAATCTTTTATCTAGTATATATATATATATGCCTGTTATAGTGGTGTAGTAGTATAGTACAGCATATTGTGTAGATAATTATAATCCGTCATAGTATAGCAGTATAAAGTAGTAGTAGTAAAGTATTAGTAGTAAAGTAATTTGATGGCAATAAGGAGTAACTAATAGCCTAGTTTACCAGAGTAAAATCTAGGGGAACATACTACTTTAACACATGGTATAGTATAATATAGTGTACTATTATAGCATGCTCTACTATATTAAGAAATTTGATAGCTAGTACAGTATTATGTTTATCACTAAATTTTGTGGTTTAACATTTAGTACTCAATTTATTATTATGACTATTGATATTCACTAATACTTTTATGAGCACATCAGTATTTATATTGTATACACGTACTATACTATATTATCATATCTTACAGTTCTATTTACTTCACTCTCATTTCCTACAATAGCACTATTTCTACCAATGTTTATTTCTAGTTAATTTTAATTTTAAACGTCTTATCTTTAGCATTACGTGATAAACTCTATCAAGTTCAATGTAGAATGCATTCAGTTTTCAGTATCATAAAAGACGATTAGGGAATCACACGGTAATTACTCGATCATTTATAAAATGGGGCAATACCAATGATTCTTAAAAAAACAAAAGAAAAATTAAATAACAATCTATTTATATAGTTGGTGAACGTTGACCTAAATATTGACTTTCTAAAATTATAAATTAAATATAATTTAAAATACAATCACAATAATGTTAGTTTGTTCTTAATTCTTTAGAAACTATTAATCTAATCATTATTACACTAGCTCTATGTAGACCTTACGTAATATAAACAAAACTTGTATCTCCGAAGGTTCTGTGATTTCATTGGGAATTCTCTAAATTCCTTTCGACTCGCAATACCTTTCAGTCAGACTTACCATCGTTATCCGTTGGACAGCCGTTCACTTTGTATGTCAGATAGAACCCAGACATATTGTATGCATCATCGCTGAAGAAATGAAGTAGAGCTGTGCCCGATCGCGCGATGACTTGCGGTACTCGGCGTATGGAAAAGTTGCCCCGATACATGAGGCCACTGGAGAGAAGAGAGTGAGAGATTAGTCAGACGCTACAGTTTCGTTAAGCGATTTGATGGACTCACCTGAAGACCGCAAGTAGGGGCGAATCGACGCTATCACCATCGTATATATACAAATGATCCCAGCCGCATTCCGTGGCGAACTCGCGCAGATTTATGCGTATATTGGAGGGACGCGACGGATTCGGGTTGTGGCGTCGACCCCAATGCGGATGATGTGCATCAATTAGCCAGCTGCACTTGACGCTCACCGAATAGTTGCCCCAGCCATCGTGTATGGTCCCCATGGAATGGTACATGCTATAAAATAATTGCAAATACAAACATGAGAGAGTGTTTGAGGTAAGTAAGAGAAAATTTAGAGACTGCAACTCTCGGAGCATCTAAGCGTAATAGTTACTCTATAAGACTTACGAGAGTTCAAATCTAGAGTTTTAATTATTTTACAGTTATTGGGTAATGATTGAGTGTATTTCTAAAGTAGACTCTGTAATCAGTTATTAAAAAATAAATATATATTTTCATACCGACTTTTAAGTTTGTACAGAAATTTTTGCTCTGTAAACAGGTTTCACATATATAAAGTTTTTATATTTTATATCTCTGTAAGTTATACTAGACTCCACATTCAAATTTTAAATTAATCTAAGTTACGTTTATAGTTCTCGCGATATAATTGTGTAGAGTTCTTGAAGAATACAAACTCTGAACCAGATATATGTTCAAGGTATTATTCTCCATCTATGCTTACATTTTTAGTACCGCCAAACAAGGTATTAAGTTTGTAACTCTTAAAGCTCTTGAATTATACCGAAGTCAATGGAACGAGTAGTAGATACTATGTAAACAAATAGTCTGTGTACTCTTATCTTTATTATAGCCAGACCTTCAAGTATAAGATATCTTTTTCCTATATATCGATAACAGAAATAAGTTCTAGCTAATCAAATATCAATCTCAATTTATCTTTGGAGAACCCACAAACCAAGTTAACTCCTTAACGATCCCAACTTATAATTGAGTATTGTGTATTTCCTAACTGGATGAAACTGTAGCTTTAAAAGTAAATATGGAATATCGATATATATCGCTTACTAAGCATAAGCACTGACCAGAGAGCATGTACTACATGTCTAGTCTATGTGTTCTCTAGTCAGTGGCATAAGCCTAAATATATATTCGATTGCTTAGGCTTGATTTCCATACATTGTCTACGAATCAATAGGCTCGCTATGTACATACTTTCAAAGAGGCATTAAAATGAAATAAATCGAATTTGGATGGCACTCGACTGTCGATTCGAGGCTCACAATTACATATGTAAATTGTGGCCAGATGACGTGAGCTCGATCTGTGATTCCCTGTCGCCTTCTCTCTCTCTCTCTCTCTCTCTCTCTCTCTCTCTCTCTATCTCTCTCTCTCGTCTTGTGTCGACCGACTCGTCTCTTGACTCTTTCAAGATAATTGAATTTGCGAGGCAACGCAAATGCAAGCTTCATTCAATTGATGCACACAATGAGAGACTGTGTGGCAAGTGGCATGTGGCATGAGAAGCGAGCCAGAAGCACCGCAACTGCCGCAACGCTCTTTGTTATTGTTATTATAGTAAAACCGTCCAGCTGTCCAACTGTCTCGCTGTCTAGCTGTCCAGCTGTCCGGCTGTCTGTCTACGCGTCCATCATATCCGTTTAAAAATAACTGCTTTCTTTTCATTTGCCAACAGAGAGACACAAGATGTGCTTATTACATTGCCGTTGTGCATTTTCTCAACTTGAAAACAATTAACTGAGCCAAGTAAAATGTATATATAGAGTATATATAGCTGATGTCTTGATAGTAAGCCTCCTGCCTCTATCATGGCCCGTCTGTTTACTTCACAAGTGTTTTCTAAACTTTAAACATTCAGACCCAATAGATTGCAATAATCAAGACATAGTTCAGAAACAGCAGAAAGTCAGTCAAAAATTACACATTTATAAATATATATTTATATATACAGATCTCTATGTATGTAATAATGGCCAAGTCAGGCTTAAGCAGCGCATAGAATGTTTTATTAGAATTGTTAATGCGCATTTCCATGGACACTCACGTCATGCTCGAAAGTTTTTAATATGAACTTCAACAATATAAACAAACAAAAACGCTGCAATCGGGCATGACTGACTGCGGAATACTCGTTAAGTTAACTCAAATATAAATATTATTTAAAATTAGTATTAATTGTAGGGTCAGTGATGCAATGCTAGTCCCAAAAACATGCGGACTTCGATGCGTTTCCGATTTGCCATGCTCTCAATAACTGTAAAAGGTATACGTAGTACGCTTTTCGGAGCTAATATTTGTATTTTTATATGTTCTACCCAGCTATAAGTTCTAATCCAGCTTCTATAGCACCATAAATAATAGAGCTAGAGGATGTTTGTATGTGATAATTCGTAGTACTTTATCAGAAGGGGATACACACGACTATACATATGTATATACCCTATACATACGGAATATGTATGGAATTTATACTAATGATTTGAAGTGCCATGCTTAAAGGTCGCGAATTGATTTCCTTTCAAATGCAGAGGCAACTGTATAGATAAGCACTGTACAAAACCAATATACTCTCTTCACTTCATGGATGAGTGTAATTAATCAGTTTTGGTTAGTACTTATTATTGCCTTTACTGTCAACGGTGAAAGTGTTGCTGCAAATTTACATATTTTTATACCCTGAACCCATTGAAAATGGGAAATCAGGGTATAATGGTTTTGTGAAAAGTATGTAACAGGCAGAAGGAATCATCGCAGACCCCATAAAGTATATATATTCTTGATCAGGANTCACCATATGATTACGCTCTAAAAGTTTCATTAAGATCGTATGTCTACAAAAGAAATTATTTAACAAATAAATTCTCATAATATTGCCCACACTGCAGCGCAGCCCAAGCGCAGTCGCTGCTTACTGCGCAGTTAGCAGAGCGCAGGCTTATGCGTGCGTGTGGATGCATGTGTATGTATGTGTGCATAAAAGAAGTGCAGAATGATTAGAATATCAGCTTAGAGGGTTCAGGGTATCTCCTAGTCGAGCAGTCTCGACTAGAGCTTTCTTACTTGTTAATTATATTTTATTTTATTATCGTATATGAAGAGAAGCATTGAACTTTTTGAAAAATCGTGCCTTAATATACATACGTAAATTAATCAGTTCTAATTTTGTTTTGTYTCAATTTGTTTCAATATTATGCACATGGCTTTATCGATAAATATCGTTTTGTATTTCTATATTAGTGATAATTATTGATTGTGCATCTATATATTTTTCAAAAGTCGATGTTTCTCTTGGACAATATTTGCATATTAAAATAAATTCAACCTTTCCTTATATCAGTGTTGCTTGGTAGCGGTTATAAATGTATTCTCTATATTTTTATTATACAGTTATTAGTCTACTGTATGGTAATGCTATATTATGATATGATATGGTGTTCTAGTCCGCTCGCTTTCACATTTTATCTAGCTAGCTGCCATAAAAGCCAACAACTGTATCAGGTTTCAGCTACAAAATTAACGAACGAAAAACCAGAGCAAAGTGCATAATGGGTAAAATAAATAGATGCTCTAACTAGCTTTCGCATTGTATGTGCTTGTAATTCACAACTAATTAAAGTCCAAGTTTTTTTTTGCAATAGAAACAATTAAGAAAGCTCTAGGACTGGGTGTGGCTCACTAGGGGATACCCGGAATACGAGAATCGATCTACAATCTGCAACTATCGATTACTATCGGAAATAGGATGACTATTCAGAGCTTCTAATAAATATGGGCACAAAGGGTTTTGTAATACCCATAATATTTGAGCTTAAGACGTATCGACATAGTCGAATTCTTGTTTTGGTCAGGCTATAAACTAGATTAGAAGTCTTAAATATGATAAGAAAGTTAAGAACTGATTGTTCAGTATGTAGATCGAAGGTGAATGCATAATTAACTAGATTAACCCATTTCTTGAGAATACTATATTTGCTTTATAAATTTTCTATAAGAAGTTTAGATTAAACTGTATGAAGGATAACCAACAGCCGCTAGTGAAGAATTTAAAAGCAACTTTCTTAATATGGATTATGGATCATAGTTTCCAAGTTTAGATTTAGCAAGCTGCATATGGCAAACAGCTCGAAGAAGAGAATCTGCCCAAATGTAGAAGAAGAATTGTCTGCCTGAATACTAAACAAATACGAGCTTATATAGCACAGAATGAAATGGAGAGAAGAGGAGTAAGAGAGGTAGAGGGATAGATAGAGAGACAGGTGCGCTGACGCGCTGATGGGGCAAAACGCAAACGTGATAACGCCTTTCGCTGTTGATAAGCTTGGCCGAATTGAGGCTATGCCGTATCAGCTGTAAATCACAAAACTATATATATAGAAGCTATTCATGTATGTGTTAAGTGTAGCTATGCGTGTGTCGGTGTCTTTTGCATTCATATCGTAACAATGGCAATCGGTCAATGGAGACGACAACAACAACAAAAGAAGCAAATAAAACAGAGCAAATGGCGACAGTTAGATAGAAGCCAGAGAGCACTCCAGAAAGTAGCAACCCGACTACGTAATGCTCTACTTTTACAACTTAATACATGCACACATACAAATCTATAGCTAATCTTTAATCGCTGCTTTACATAAGCATATACCAAGTCTGTAGATGCTTCAGTGCATTTTGTAGACACAAAAAATGATGACACACTTTAATACCCTGTATATAAGTTTACCTATATACTAACAAAGCTAACTGTTGTGTACTTAACACGGCTGTCAAGATACAGAGCGCCCTTATCGAGCGCACTCTGTGCAAATACCCGTTATTATGAAACATAAACAAACTGTCTTATGAGCTTTATGAACTTTTTTCCTCTCTGATTAGAATAAAAGTTGATTTGTGCTTGTGAGTTCGCAGTCGCAGCTGAAGAAGGCGAAGAAGAAGAAGTAATGGACGAAGACAGGCTCAAAGCCAAGAGTCAGGTAATTAAGGCATGCACTCTGATTGGAAATGGTTGAGGAAGACGACAGACGTGCGCAAGACAGAGACAGCGAGACAGTGGGAAAGAACGAGCGCGTCAGAAATGGGCGTAAGCGCGTAGAAAGCACACAGTTTAACGTAAAGAATGAAATGAGAAAGGCGAAGCAAGCAACAACAACTGCGAGTAATAAGTGCGAGTACGACACTAGCAAATACCCTACACATTGACTGTGCTTGTTAAAGGTTTCGTTCTCAAATGAAATGGCAATTTTTCTATAAAATATATATAGGGCTCTATAATTTTATAAAATCTATAGCCACTGCAGATGTCTTGCCTTTTCACGATAGCCCGGTGCAACACTATGCATATTTAACAAGTCCAGCAGCCTCACCAACTGCTTATAGCATATCAAACGACTCCTTCATACGTCAGCGAGCAGGGTATGTGAGAGAAAAGAAAAAGAGAGCTGGAGACAACAAAGTGGAACCCGTCTAACGAGAATGGGCAGCTCAAAAAACTAAACCGTTGGTTGACACAAATCGGTCGCAAAAAAAAAAAAAATAAATAAATAAATAAATAAATATAGAGTGCAAAAGCTGATTGAATAATACATTTTTAACGTTCATTTTGTCTAATGTTGTTGTTGTTGTCGCAGTGAATCATGCGGCGACAACGATAACTGCACCAAACCAAAAGAGTGAGCGAGATGAGGAGGGAGAGGGAGAGAGAGAGAACGGGGTTGTGGGAGAGAGAATGCTTCAATACTAACCGTACTTTGCCGCCACAGAACTGGCAGGCAGGTCCCTGCCAGCCATCGGCACAAATGCACTGTCCATCGAGGCACTGACCATCGTTCTGGCAAGGATTCGTGGTGCAGTTGTAGGCGCTGGCGCTATGTAAGCCACTGAAGCAGCCATGGAACAGCAGCAGCGAGAGCAGCAGCAAACATTTTCGCCTATATTTCGCGTTAAATGTGGGCGTGTGTGTGCTGTCGCAGCCTGAGCTCTGATGATGATGCAGATGTTGTTGTTGTGGATGATGTTGTTGTTGTTGTTCTTCTTCTTCGTATTGTTGTTGTTGCTGTTGCGTGTTTATATCGTAGACTCTGGTGCTGTTGTTGTTGAGTGTGGAGCAAAATGTTGTGGAAGACGAACGTTGTTTGGTTTGTTGCTTTGATAGTATGTTGGCGGATGAGAGCTTATGCTTATTTTCCGCATGCTCCACCAAGCACATTTTTCACTTTTGCTGTTTAGCTTTTTTTTGCTTTTGCAATTTGTATTGAATTTTCACACACACGAATGCGACTTTTTTGATTTTCGCAGCGCTCGCATTGTGAACTGCACAAGTTCTTGCACAATTGCAAATATAATGCCAAAACGAAACACCAAATGCGCAGCACTTATCAAACACCAAAAAGGAACACACAAAATTGCACAACCTGATGGGCAAATATGTAAAGGAAAACAGTTGTATTAACTACTCTGAGCAAAAACAATATGTACTAGTCGATAGTGCTGTAAGAGTTATCGACGACTCAATGTGGCGGCTAGTCGATGCCAATTATTCGCACAAATGTGCGTCACTTACAACACTTTAAATTCCGATACGCACAATCGGTAAATTGAAACAAGATTAACTACTGGTGAATTTAATGAATCTATTAACAAATTGTTCAACAATGCTTTGCAAATTTTTCTTTTTGAGAGTTTAAATAGTAAACAGTTTTATTAAGTTAATATATATATTACAAGCACTTACAATCCACAATTATCGATTCCATCTATGTAGCCCTCGATTTCAGTTTGAATGAATGCATTCTTAGAATGCAAATTGCAATTTATGCTTATAACTCACATCAATATTTTGTACCAGAATGCTACTAAAATTCACAAGCAGCTCAATATTTTATACAAATGTAAATTTATTGAATTTTAAAGTAAAATGTAATATTTTTTGAATTGGATGCCATGTAAGTAACTCACTGCACCTACAAGCGAATCAACCGATGTGAGAACCGGTTCGTACACATTTCGTTCGGTTAGTGCAGCCCTCGCGTGCGTTAGAAACGCAGGCGAAAAGTTCAACCCGTTAGACCTGCATTGCTCTTGTGTTAAATTAATGTAATTTTCTGACTGAAAGAAGCATTTATTTTAAAAGAATACGAGAAAATGCTATGCTGTGAGATGAAATCAAAATGAAATGGTTACTGACCGCCCATTCTAACGGACTATTTAGAGTGAGGTAAAAAATCAATACGCTCGAAATGAACAAACACCGCAATGAGCGTACACAAAAGCGCGTAAATTCCGTTAGTTTGACAGTTACAGTTGCGGTTTCAGTGATAAGAATTTGAGGATGCATGGCGCATGCGCGCTCTTCTTCGCTCAGCTCAGCGTCGAGCTGGCTTTCCCACTATATTCCTGCAGAGCTGGTGCGTTCGGGCAGTCGATGTTCTGAACTCGAGGTGCACGGTGCCCGCTGTTAATTGCTAACGGTTATTCGCGTCTGTGCCGCTGCATGTGCGTGCCAGTGAGTGAGTGTGTGCGTGCGTGTGTGTGTGTGCGAGCGAATGACTGAGTAAGTGAGTGTGTGTGCGTGCGTGCCAGTGTGTAAAAAAAAAACGAGAAAAACAGCCATTTATAGAACATTAGCTTTAACGATTGCCAAAAACACAAAAACTGAAGTGCTGCAAAACGATAATTAGATTTGCAATAAAGAAAGCAGGAAGAAGAAGAATCACAGCAGCCGCGCTCGCAGTCGTCGCTGCCGTCGCCGTCGCCGTCGCCGTCGCCGTCGCAGGTGAGTTGTGGAATTTTTGTTACAATGCAGCTTTGTGGATTTTGGGTGGTGGATTTGCCCGCTGGCACAGACAGACAGAAACAGAGCCGAATGTCTATACATGCGAGGCGGGTGTGTTGCTGCTGTTGCTGTGCTTGTTGTTGTTGTTGTCGTCGCTGCTGTTGATTACGTTGACTACTTAACGTATTTTGTTCACTCCACTCTACACGATTTCATTCGCAATTATCATAGTTTTGTTGCAATAGAAATTGTAGGCACTTTTTTTCGATTAATCCGCGCAATCGATTGGCATTGGATTCTTTTACATTTCATATGCGTTATTGAACACACGAGCCTCAAGGGGGCGTCCCACACACGACAACAGCAAAAGCAACAACAGCAAAAATGGCTGCAATTTTAATGTGTGCCGTTAGCTCGCATTTTTGGTTGCGAAAAAAAAGAAAACACACACACACACTAACACTAAGGCATCATTTAGCGTGCAGTCAGTGGGAGCTGCCAACTGCTAATTTGCATATGTGTATGTACACACACACACAGGCACACGCACGTTGCGTCCGGCAATTTCTCATTTTGCATAATTTCAATGACGGCGCTGCTGGCGCTGCTGCAGTCGCCGATAGCGCCAACGCTAGCGTTTACGTCTACGTCCACGTCAACGCCAACGCATGGCCGCCATTGCTTGCTCTTGATCCGCTTTTTTTTCCGCGTTCTCTTTGAGAAATTATTTTTAAATTTGTTGCGTTGTTCTTTCTGTTGTTGTTGTTGTTGTTGTTGGCGGCTCTGAAGGCCGTTACATTTGTTTTATTTATTTTCTATGTTGCTTGCGCCGCTGCTGTTATTGTTGTTGCTGTTGTCTTTGTTTATTTCTTCTTCTTTTTTTTTTTTTTTTTTTTTTTTTTTTTTGCATTATATAATTTCAGTTGCGTTGCGAGGCGACGCGTCGCTGTTTGGCGGTTTCTGCGGCAAGTTCAAGTGCAATTTGTATATGTGTTCAAGTGTCCGTGTGTGTGTGTGTGTGGGCGAGGTGAGGCGGCGCTTTTGACGCCCCCTTGCGGTTGGAGGCAAATGTTTTGCCAATAGTTTTGCCAATGGCAATAAGCGATTGTTGTTGTTGGATATTTTGGTTATTTTTGCATAGCTTGGCCAACAACAACAACCAACATTGGACAGAAAAGTTGTTTATATTAATGTAAAGAGGTTTTTGCGCGACTATATAATTCCCTCGGCATATCTCGGCATATTGTGAATTGTTGTTAGATTTTAGATAGGGTACTGCTTAGTCGCTTAAGATTTACTTGTTAATTAATTTGTAAAGAATATAGTAGAGAATTAGAAATTAGATTTTTTTCTTGTCTTCCGTTTGAACGCATTACAGATACAGTTTTTTCTATGAATATAAAATCTGGTAATTCTTAGTCGTGACTTAACTACTTTTTATTGGCCATTAAACATAAATTTCAATAATATATGTATGTATTGGAAAATCCAATTTTTGCAATATATAAATAATTTCTAATTTACAAATTTGGAGTAGAGTATTACACAGTCGGTTATGACCTATTTCGTTAAATTTATATTTTATATAACTTCTTCATTTCAGGCTTTACAGACTATGCTATAGTCAATCACACCCCACATATACAAATGTGAAGAATTTTTCACTTCTATTTTGACTTTGATAATCTGCTATAAATTTCAGATAGTTGTCGACTCTCATACAGCTATTAGACGTAATAGAGTACAGGGTATCACTGGGCGTATGCACGCAACAACAATAAACTCCAATTACGTTCATTCGTGTGTGTGAATCTGTGTGTGTTGTTAGCGCCGCTGAGGCGCACAATTTTCCAACTTGCGGCATTGGAACATGAAACGGGGGTTGAGTTTTGGTTTTGGTTAAAGTAGAAACAAATTATACGATGCCGCCCTCGCCCCTCATCCAGCTTCGGCTGTTTCACAAAAAAACCCCGCACAAAGTCAATAAACAAGAGCCAGCAACAACAGCAGCAACAACAACAACAACAATAGCAACAACACTCTGTCAGCTTTTATATTTCCCAGTAGAACGTATTTAACCTACCCGACAAACAGACACAGAGCTGAAAGCCTCCGCCTCCGCAGCGAGCAGCCCAGCCCCAGCAGGAACAAAGGACGTTCTCCTCTCGCTTCCGCTCGCATTCTTCTCCTTATTTGCCAGAGTTCTTTTGCTTTGCTGTCATTTATTTCGTCATTTATGCAAAACTTTATTGCTTTCTCTTGTCTTGAGGGCAGTGGTTGTTGTTGTTGCTGTTGTTATTGTTGTAATTTTATATATTTTCTTTCTTTTTGTTTTATTTAACTTTTTTTTTGGCAGCTGAGTCATTTGGCCATTGGCCAGTTGCAGCTTCAAGTGCGACAACTGAAATGCATT